ACTACACAATAGGGCGTATCTGTGCTCTGCCCACCCACCGGGTAGTCGAAACCCGGTTTACCGTTAGCGTTGTTAAGTACCGCCAGACATACCGCTGTGCCACTGGGGGGGGGGGCATTGAAATATAAGGAGGTACTTGTTTATTGAATTTCGCGCAAAGATATTTGAGGATTATCTGGGCTAGCCTTTCCTAATTCACAGGGATGGATCGTCACATTATAACGACCCTGAGGTTGAAAAAACAAGAACGTCAGTGACGGGATTCGAACCTTCGACCCGCATTAGATAATTATGTGATTTTTGTAATTATTTTGTTTTGTGACTCCTGATAGCTCAGCAATAATCTCGTGGGCTTATATCGTTACAATTCTGGGTTCAATTCCTGGGGTGGACACGTCACAAATAGCCAATTGCGTAAAAACAAACAAATAAACTGATATATAGAACTAAAAATGAAATTCACACTTTGAAATGTATTAAGATCAATTCATTGTAATAAAACAAAACATATTTTGTGAATTGTTATGTAGATATATATATATATTATTGGATGAATGTGAATTTTCTCTAAAAATTAAACTTCGGTGGTTGTCCAACTTTACATCATGTTGAACCCTTAAAATTTACTACTGTAGATGTACGCCAATAAAGTTGAGCCTTTAAAAACTTATTTAAATATACACATATTTATGCTAGTTAGTATTCAATTTTAATGAAGTAACAAATAAATCTTCGTTTACTTAGAAGTATTTGGTAAATTTTCTAACGTCCCAGAGATCCTCTGTTTATCTACAACGACAATACTATAAAGAAAGCCTAAAAAAATTCATCACATTAGTAATTATTTAGCTGTTAAATAACCATGCTCTTGTTTATTCCCCAACACTATGTTATTCAACAGTAACATGAAAGTTTTTATTAGACTATTGTCTGATTGTGTTTCTAGTTGGGTAAGTGTGTCACACTAAGCGTTATCAAATTACTGACTGCGGATTGTTTATCTACTAAACTAGATGTACTTCCGCAGGGGTCCCCGAAAGTGTTCTGTTTCAAGTGCTAATAAAACCAAGATTAAGAGTAACAGGTATTTTTATTTCTTGCTTTTGAAGTTCATATGTCATGTTGTAACCTACAGAGTGCATAATTCTTCTCGTGCGCATATTTTACTGACGTCACGACAGTAAAAATTACAACGTTAAGCGTCCCTTATGTTACGTCATTTTAGTGTCTGCTAACTGGCTGACAGACAACACACTACTGTATAGTGGTGGAAGTGGTTAAAACAGGTGACACTTCCAGGCGGATTTTGGTCCCCTTTCGGGGAAACTAGACAACGGTCACACGAAACTTTATCGGATTACTGATTATTATCTGTTAAAACTATACAGTTTAAAAATCCCACTAAACGTTTATTAGATTATTCATTGCTTATTTACAAATACCAGGATGTTTAACGCTCACATGAAAATTTATCAGATTAATGACTGTTTGTCTATAAGACAAAGCTATTTAGTTGCTACACTGGACTTTTATCACATTATTGTTTGTTTCGCTACTAAGACTAGACAGTTTAATATTCACAGGAAACTATATCGGACAATTGATTATATATTACAAAAAAAAAAAACTATACACTCAACTTTAAAACGTCATTCATTGTTCATCCTCTAATGACCCTCAGTGGCCCAGCTGCAAGACTGCAAACTTATAACGCTAAAAACCCTGTTTCAATACTACATTAAAAATGACACTTGGCGGCCAAATGTGCAAAGTTTAATTACAAAAAACAATATTTATATTTAAAGCGTAGGGCATGTTACCGTATAACACTTTGATCTTACACAAGTTAAAGTGATAAAGTATTTGCTAGTTTGCAACAAATTTAAATCCATTGAAATTAGACACGTCAGATAAAGCCAGTTTACACGCTGTTACCTGAAAAACGAACCATTCTTCAAACTTCGGGTTGCATGTTTTCTTCAGTACTTTCGTTTGAAGGTGGCAAGTTTCATCTGGAAGCAGGAAAATTCTAGAGAAGGAATGTAAATATAAAGCTCGTGTTAGAAAAGACAGTTTGAAAGAGTTTATATTCTATCTAACCTTTTTCTCTGAAACAAACTGTAGGCTTGTGTTGTTGTGGGTTTAATAAAAAAGCAAATTAATGTCAAAAACTTGTTCAGAAATGGACAGCAAGAGACATGTAAACTTCCTTCTATAGAGGAAACAACTTCGTTATCATTGGGTAGTTTTATTTGTCTCTGAGAAAAGCTCTAAGTACGGAGATTTACTCCAGAAAATATACACAAATATATCACACTAATGTTGAAACGTTCTTGAATAGCACTTATTGTGCCTTTGGGTGAAAGTTTGTTTCTCTAAGGACAAGTAGTTTTTCAGATGTAAATATTTTAGATATATATATACTTTTTACTAAACACCTTGTAGATGCAAGCTTACAAAGTTGTGAAATTAAGATTACATTTTCAATATGTTGTGAGGAATAGGATAAAATAATAAGTGTTTAATATTTGGCTTAGATTTCTATAAATACAAAAGCGAGAAGAATGGTTGTGGAAAAGTATGTCTACTTGATCAATAATATATTTATTTATACATAATGTAACGAATTTGTTTTTATGTATTTATTTTAATATCAACGTTGTTTAGATTAAATTTGTATTTAAAAATATTCGTAACTTATAGTGTCAGATATGTATTGCGTATAACGAATTTGTTACATATTTATTTTCATGACAACGTTTGTTTGGAATGAGTTTATATTTAAAAACGTGCCTAGCTTACAGTGTTAGTTACGTATGACGAAACTCCCGCCAATTCTCCAAGATTGTAGAATATTCGCGAACGTAAGAATCGACAATATATCCACTTCTGTAACCGGTTAAATATAGTTCAATATTGTTGTCGGAATTTTCGAGAAAATCTTTCTCGCGCCTATAAAAGGCGACGCGCCAAAAAAAGAAAAAAGAGAGAGCTTATAAGTCTGCTAGGAACCTGTTATAACCGTGTACTTTATAAACCGTGATTTTGCTAACCCTTATCAACCGGAAAATATACGGACTCGTAATCTGCGGGTCGCGGGTTCGAATCCCCGTCCCACCAAATATGCTCGCCCTTTCAGCCGCGGGGTCGATATAATTTGACGATAATTCCCACTATTCGTTGGTAAAGGAGTAGACCAAGAGTTGGCTTTGGGTGGTGATGACTAGCTGCCTTCCCTCTAGTCTTACACTGCTAAATTAGGGACGGCTAGCGCAGATAGTCCTCGTGTAGCTTTCAAAAACAAACAAACAAACAAACAAAATTGGCGGCCAAACTAGTAGCTACACTTATAGCATTAATAAAACTTTTACAGCAAATATTCATTCATTAGTTAGCCAGGCCGCACTTTTTGTTCAACTTGGGGCATGATTGTGAGTAAAACAAAATATGTGGTCTAGCTAACTAATGAATTAATATTTGCTGTAAAATTCACTCTTTTTTTTTGCCGCGCTTGTTTTTCACACCTAAGGTGTTTTTGATTAGATATCATAACTTGTTGTCAATACACAACAGCAAGTAATAGAGTGACACTTGTATTAATCAAGATTAGATTTAGGATCACAACACTATGTTACGTATTGAGAATTTGAAATAATCCGAAGCCTAGTTAAATAATTTAAATTTTAATAGTTGATTTGTACCCTGGATTTAGTGTTTAGAAATATGCTGATATTTTATTTAATTTACGCTATTTGCCAACGAGATTAATTCACACCGTTTTTGTTTTTGACACAAATACGATTTAATATATATACAAAGGTACAATTTACAATAGCCACTATTACAATTAATTACTACAAACAAAGTTTCATAAACAAAAAATTCACTACCTTACAAATAACATAAAATCTTCTTCCTAGTTCAGAGTCTCCTTGATATCCAGCGAGTTAACTTGAAGTCGATGTATGCACAATTGCCGAGAAGCTAGTTAGCTTGGCTAGACACTGAATTGTTGGACCGTTGAAGTAAGATAATATTTTCATAAAACCACCAATTTCCAATGAGAAACCAGTAATATTTTCGGAAAGATACTAGCGTTCGATGAGAATTCACTGACGTTCGAAATTTATAACTGTTCCTGGTCAAATGTAAAATGGGTGGAAAAATATTAATACAGATAAAGGGAGGGTTCCTGGATATTTATTTAGCTTTGGCTTTGATTATTTTATCAATAGTAGTGCTTGGTGTCTGTAATAGTTTTGTTTTGTTTCTTTGAAATGTTTAGAAACATATGATGATCCTTTAAACTGTTCCTTAAATGTGAGGTTCATTTCTCTCCCGGTTTCTCTGATATAATAGTGCTTACATAAACCACATTTGATTTTGTAGATGACTCTTTTGCATTTATTCTTAGTGGGGTAACTCTTAGTTATATGGTTAGGTTTTCACTGATGTTTTCGACAAAAGAAATGTAATGATGATAAAACTGAAGTTATCTTTTATAAGATTTGCATTTTTTGTTTGTTTGAATGAAGGTCTCAAAAATTCTTTGCAGTTCATCGTTTAAATTGTTTGCAGAACATATATTAAATCTAATCAAAAACATGTTAGGTGTGGAAAAAAAGGATTGAGCGTGCGACTTAAAGGCCCGGCATGGTCAGGTGGTTCGGATGCTCGCTAAAAACAATAAGTTCATGCCACCTACAAACTTGCCCCCATCATCAGGAGTCTCTACGTTCTCTAGAATTCAATATTTTAAATGCAACTCTTGCCTGACGATGACTCGATGCTATGGGTCAAAACATTGTAATCATTAAAATCAGAACTTGCTTACACTAAAAGTTGCTGTTACTTTATTTTTAAACTAATTTTCTGGACTGTGTTCAGCGAAAAACCTACCTGGGATACTACGTAACATTGATGAAAATTATCTTTTGGACTGGAC